TCACTTTCGAATTAGCGGCAGGTCAACTGCTTGAATGCAACAACAAAATACAATGTCAAACTCACTTTAGCGTATATATAAAACATAGAACTTTTATTAACAAAAATACAAATACACCATGCTGTAGGGCAGGCTATGCCTAATATAAAATAACAAAACTTACATAAAGTTTAATAGGTATACAAAACTGGAAATAAGTAAACATGTATAATATATAACCAAATAAATAAGAAACGCAGAACGTTTATTAGCAAAACGAGTAAGAAAGCTTGGAGGCACGGCATACACCTTGATGTCAAATAAAATAAATAAATGACACAAAGTTTAAATAAAGTAAAAATCAGCAAACAATGTGGAACCAATTAAATAAGAAACAAATGTTTAAAAAAACTTCCAAAATCACCTTAGATAAACGGCAAAAGTCAACAGGCTTTTCAAAATCCAAAATATTGCCAAACAGGCACTTTTGCATTTAGTTTCGAAACTCATCCACGATCGTCTTGTCTGTCTCACCCCACTCTTCTTGTCAGTCAGCTTGACTCACTCTCCTCACTGGATAAATGAAATCTGATTCGGCACGCTGCAGTTTTTAATTGTAGTGTCTGTTCTTTTACTGAACTAAATTATTTTTATTACTATAAAAAATCAAAACGACTGTGGGGGACAGTGACGCGGTGGGCAAGTGATGTAACCAGTGTTGCGGCTTAACACCGGTATCACCGTCAGCCCCGTCTATCGCGGCAAGCCTATACCCAACCCTACTGCCTTTGCGACTGCAACCAGGAAAACGGCCCGAGTGGGAAATTGGTTCTCTAGGAACCATCATGCTGGCTAGTTCCTAGAACTATGCGGTGCGAAAGCCCCTTAACAGGGCCTTTAGAAGAGCTACTACTGCCTTCATCCACCACCAAAGAAAAAAAGACCCTTGGGACAGACCCATCATGCTATTAGCCAGCCACTGTTAGAGAATCAGAACCCCAAAAGATGTACCATCTTGGTTTTGGGAACAACACATAAACACCTTGAAAAAACTGCTCTTAGATAAAAACTGTGGGAACCAATGAAGATCAAGCAATCTGCAATCACTTACTCTCATAACTAGAAGAGACAGTTACTGCCCCTAATCTGCCACTTTATTGTTTGTGTTCAGAACCCCACTGAGCCATTTAATACAACTGTACTGGCAGCTTGTTAATCCCTGAACCCAGTCTAGACTTAGCAGGCTCTTCAGCATATGGCCCCTGCATATGTTGCCCCGTTCCTCTCTCCTGGCCTCAGTCTCTATGGCCATGCTTCAGGGCCTTCTATTTAAATATAAACAGATATATGGTCTCCTTGCAGCCATTTCTCTGGTTAGCATTCTACTGAACCAAATTCTCAGTGCAATTTAAGCAGAATGCTGACCACAGAGGCTAACAGCTCTGAGAAACGCCAAAGAGATGGCCAAAATCTTTAATGCGTCAGACAGACTGGCCATAAAAGCAGAGTATGACACAGCAGTAGGATGTAAGATTTTAAAGACGGACGCTTCTGACATCCGGTGCAGCTCGGCTGCTTTCATACTGCGGGGTGACGCATGCTCCATGTTCATTTAACAAACTACATGGGGCGACTGCATCTCCCTAATGGTGCCCTCCAGACAGATTTGATGGGAGGGGCTGTGGTGCCGACATCTGCATGATGCTGTGACCTCTCTTTTGGAGGGGGTGTGTTGCATAGCACTGTTACCTTAGTGCAATGACACCGGCCATTAGAGCTGCCAGACATTTCATAGCTAACAATCTCAAGAAGGAACCTGTCCTGCCTTACAAAAATTGACATTATTAGTTGGATGCTTTTGACAGAATTTTACCAGACACCCAATGAGCTCAAAATCCATTTTTATTATGCTATATTTGGGCTTTTTCAGCTACTTTTATTGACAAAATAGGCGAACAGCAATTACAGGCGCACCAGTGCCCAAAAAATATATTTCATCCGGACGTAGAATTTTAGCATATGACCAAAGAGGTGCCGAGACACAAACTCCTGTCGTGCCATCAAATCTATCAATTTGTTATAATAAATCATTTGTATAACAATTGAAGCGAAACGGCTTGACGCAATAGATACAGCCTTTTATGCCTAAATTCAATATGACTGACTGAGCATTATTGGTCTAAAAACTCCAAGAGCCCAAGAAATATGAATTTAGGTCAACATTTTCAAAAGTTATATCAAATTCAAAAAGACAAGAAACTAACAGCATTCAAACTCAAATGAATCAGACGGAAAAAATAATTTGTAATCAGTGTACCACATTTCACAACATTCCCCCAAAAACGTTGCATTCGAATTTTAGCCTTATCAGTGGCGCACGAAATGCAACGACAATGTAGGTGTCATTGCATTTGAATGCTTTTGTTAGCCTATCCAGTTGAACCCACTAGATGCGGCGCTGCTACGTTGTTCATTTTCCCCTTCAAGCCAGGAAAATGGGATTTTGATGAGAGAAAGTACAAACAGGCCTAACTGTTTACATGATGTCCAGAGCATTGTGCTACCTCATTGCTCCAACAACTAAAATCAATGCTGAAATCAAACCAACCCTCATTTACTTTAATATATATTCCTGTAAATGATTGGGCATAAGTTTTCTGAATTTTAGATTCTCAGAAGGTCTGTTTTATCCAGCAGACACATACCACATATACATTCACAAAAATCTTCTTTTCCATGCACAAGCCACACTATTCATTCTTATAAATGTCATGCCCTTTATGCAAGAAACAGGGAGGCTAAAGTGTCACCCAGATGTGTGTCTCTGAGATCACAAACATGCTCTGCGTAGAGAGCGATCTGCTTAGGCTCAAACCAACCCACCCCTTATGTGTCAGCGGGCGTCTTGTGTAAAATTAAGCAAAATGACTACTGTGCACACCAATGTAAATGCTACACCAGTCTAATATCTAAAGACAGACTCGTTTCTGATCACAGGGTGTGTTAAGTATCGGTTTTCAGCTCAGATTTCCCATCTGTTAAACTGGGAGGTCAGCGAGAGGTTAATGAAAGTGGCATTAAAAAGTCGACATTTAATCCACAATAAAATACTTTCACATAAACTCCTAAACGCTGATTTTACTGCAAACTGTTTTTGGGATATTGGGAACTTAAATTCATTGCTAGTTAATATGCATAGTAAAACACTGTTGTGCAGAAGTAAATAATTTTGTTTTGGCAACAAAAAATATATAACTTCTATCAAGTTCTGCTTTTAGAATGCCAACATTGACTCATGACCACATACTGCAACATAACGTATTGATGACTTTAAATGATTTTAAGTAACTACACAAAGGACTTTAAAAGATCACCATAAATTGATTCCACTAAGCAAGTAAGGAGTCTGTCTTGGTTTTCAGGAATTAGACAGGCCGGGGTCTGTAAAGGGGGTGTGTTGGTGGTAGTGACAGGTTTGTTTCTGTCATGTGCATGTCTCAGCAAGTCAAGAACCATTTTAAACGCAGCCTACATTTTACTTTCATTGAAAAGGGGTCATACATCCACTCATCTCTGACAGAGACACGTCTCTGACCACACACAGAGCCGAGCACCCACTCATTAGGAAAACATTCACTGCAATCTAGTGGAACACCGAGTTTCATCTCAAGCACACAATGCAGCTTCTCATTTTGCTATTATGTAACCTGCTAGCTGATATTGTAAAAGCCTTTTTGTGTAAAAATCATGTTGATTATCCCTTAATACCAGTACTATATTAAAACAAAGAGAGACAAAGCTATTAAAACCTCACAGACTGTGACAACGACGCTCCCAACACCCTGCCAAACGCTTCATGCAAACCATGTATCAAAACTTCAACCTCTAAAAGATTGAATGAAAGCTGTACTTGACACAAACAGAACCAACAATTTCATATTACATTTAGTCATTTTTTAGCAGACGCTTTTATCCAAAGCAACTTACAAATGAGGACAATAAAAGCAGTCAAAACTAACAAAAGAGCAACAATATATAAGTGCAAATGACAAGTCTCGGTTAGCCTAACGCAGTACACGTAGCAAGGTGTGTGTGTGTGTGTGTATATATATATATATATATATATATTATATACACACACACACAAACAAAGAAAAATAAGTAGATAGAAAAAATAGAAAGCTAGTTTTTGTTTTTTGTTGTTTTTTTTAATAAAGAATAAAGAATACAAAATATATAAATATAGATATAGATAAAGTAGAATTAAAATAGAATAGAAAGTGCTAGAGTTAGAGGGTCAAATAAAGGTGGAACTTTAGAGTAGAGGACATTTAATTTTCATTAATGACAACGAGGCTGTGATCAGCACGGTCCGATCAAAGGGTTGCACTGCTTTGTACTCGTGTATCAATCAAAGACAACACTACTATTGAACAGACTGTACATCTATACCCAACAGTTTCATACAGTGAAAAATCAAAAATGGAATCTACATGACAAAAATATGGCTGACTATAATTGGATGAGCGTTTTAAAACATCTGTTTAAAGTTTGACTCAAGCCTCTCAGGACACTATGACTGAATCTGAAACCTGGAAAGTCTCAAGTACAAGGAAATGGTAATATAACCAGAATTTAACTAACAACAACCAATAAAACAATTGGAAAAAAAAAAAAGATTTACTACCTTTCATCTTTATAAGCCAAAGGTCCAAACTCTTTCTGAGATTCATAAGAGGCATACTCTTGTGAAGAGAAAGAACTAATCATCTTTTGGAGTGGCTTGATTTGTAATGCCATTACTCATTATGTAATATAATCCTAATTATAATTTTTTGTCAAATGACACTGGGAGTGGACACACATTTCAAATGCAGGTTTGTCGTCCCATCCCATATTCACCATAGCAACCAGAGCTTCCTCCAAACTTGGCATTACTTATTACTGACATACAAACTAAACTGAACTAAAACGGCTCTCTGAAGGATTCTGCAGGGTTCAAACGCCCTTGATGCCCTTACCTTCAACGGCAATAACGTGCTCTCGGATCTGATTCTGCAGCAGCGGATCCTCCACCCGCTCCAGCAGCTCGTAGATCGAGTAGATGTTCGGATGGACAGACTCGAACCTCTGAATCTCAGCTCTGATCGCGGCTGAGTTCGCCAGGTGTTGCTGATAATTCATGTTTGCAATGTGATCTCTTCCAATGGAACCCGATAGGCAATTATCTAAAGAGTGTTTGCAGATGATTTAGGGATGCTGATATGCTGCAAACACGTAAACACAGGAGGGAGATCAGATGTCCACATGGGGTCTGTTGGTCAGCTCCAACGATTTTGTTCAAAGCAAAAAAACTACAAATGTTCCCAAATGTACACTGGGTATAGGTGCAATAACAGATGACAGAAAAACGTGTGAAAACGTTAAAGATTTAGTATGAAATCACTTAATGCGAGACAAACTAACATCTAACGTTAGCAGCGGCTTTGATTTCAGTGCATGTGATATTTGAATATATGTGTAGGCTATTACAACAGAAGTCCAGACGCTGGAGGGAGATCTGAAATCCCAGGACACAGTCATATGCCCCATAACCTCATAAATACAGCATAAAAGCACAGAAACTCCCCAAATCGCCATGCATCGTCATTACGAACTAGAACAGGCAAGAGAAGGCCATCTCAGGTCTACAGTCCGAGGCGAGTCCACATGGTTCATACGCACTGCCCAGTTTCAGTGGCGAGACGAAGATAAGTCATTCAAATTCAAACTAGTTCGCACAAACGAGCTGGACACGGTATGTCTGCTGTGTTCCCAGCACAGTCAACTCGCTCTCTGCTGTTGTTCACTTCGGCTCGTGCTGACATTACAGCCGCTGAACTACTTTCTGCGGTCTTGATCCAAAACCACAAAACCATTGATGTACGTCAAACCTCAACGAGATACCATCGCCGGGGTGCTTTTCGGGTATCAATCTTGTTTTATCCGCAAAGATGTGTGTATTCCCTTTCCTCGCGCACTGAGGTCCGTCCCGTCTGTATCCTCTCAAACATCATTGCGCCTGCTCCTTCCTTTGGACGTTTATTACTGGAAAAACGTCGGCGCTTAGGAGCCGTCGTCCAGGTCGTAGCTGCGCTAGTTCTGCGCAGTCTGTTGTTATTAAAACGCATACAGGTCGCCACATACTGGATGGTGGCGCTGTAGGTTACTTTGAACACATGGTGTCCGATTAGTGGGCCCAGTGTAAACCATTGGAATGAATTGCTGGTCTCAGGTCTGTGACACACTCACAGATATGACCTCAGAGTCTTAATAACATGGGCGTGAGCTAACCCATGTATCCAATAAAGGTTAAACATATGCAGGTTTTACTGGTGAACTGACAGGCAGGCTAAGAGCAGAAAAGATGCAACCATGTGCATTTCATTTTCTTGTAACACATTTAGCATATGCATATGTACATATTCACGTGTGTGTGTGTGTGTGTGTGTGTGTGTGTGTGTATTACTTTATGCAAAACACAATTTTACATACAACAGTTGATTTAGAATAAATATGTTTACATTTCATATATATGTGACCCTGTACCACAAAACCAGTCATACGTGTCAATTGTCTGAATAAATAAGCTTTCCATTGGTGTATGGTTTGTTATAGGACAATATTTGGCTGAGATACAACTACCTGAAAATCTGGAATCTCAGGGTGCAAAAAAAAAATTGAAATACTGTTAAAATCACCTTTAAAGTTGTCTAAATTAAGTTCTTAGCAATGCATATTACTAATCAGATATTAAGTTTTGATATACTTACGGTAGGGAATTTACAAAATATCTTCATGGAACATGATCTTTACTTAATATCCTAATGATTTTTTGGCATATAAGAAAACTCAATAATTTTGACCCATTGGTTATTGCTACAAATATACCCATGCTACTTATGACTGGTTTTGTGGTCCAGGGTCACATAAGTGTACTAAATCAACTATTCTATTTAAAATTGTGATTTGAAAATTTTGTTTAATAATTTAATATCCGATGACAGACAAAGCAGAGTCCCATTAAAAGAGATTCATGTAAAGGTCAAATTATTCTATGAATTATATACAAGCACATGAATACATACATGTTTAATTGGCCATATTATAAGATATAACATAATAGCAACACTATGAATTCTAACTGAACTTATTTCACTCAATTTCTAGTACAGGTTTTAATGATTAGTGAAGATGTCTAAAGTGTACATCTAACTCACTAAGAGCCACTAAGAGCCTTTTGTTTGGGCATCTTACCACAAGGCTCTGATTTTACCCTTTCAAAATAAAAACTATATTTTTTACTCCACACATCTGAAACATTTATGTGTCCACAAATCTCTTATTAACAAATAGACACAAAAACCTTTGATATTCAGCATAATACAATATCATAGATAATGATAGCCAAGCCATTCATTAAATGTGTTGGTGGGGTAATTTACTTTAAAACCTTTAACATCTTTGTAACAAATAAATGAACAAATACCATCGTACTGTAGAAAAAAATTTGTTCGATGCCATCTGTATCTAATTCTGATAAAGTACACTGTTGCTAAATGTCTTGCACAGCTGAATTCCATTAGCCTCCATTTTACTCAATGGCCTCTTCTATCCTGATTCCATCCACCAGCAGGGAATGAACTATTCCATTTCGCTTCCTTCCACTACTTGTTGCTTTAATGCAGCATTCATGGTTCTCCACTGCAAAGTGTGTCTCGCTTCCATTCTCTGTAAACTCCCCCTGCACAAAGGAAATCAATATAAACACAGGCCTATGACTAAACAAGCACCAGTCTTGGGAAAGATGTGATATGAAAAAGATGGTGTTAAGTTTTTCCACAGTGGCCACACAACTACACCATTAGCCGACTTGACTCAGACTTAAATAAACAATGGACCAAAGTGGATCTTTCATATTATGCAAAACACAATTTTACATACAACAGTTGATTTAGAATAAATATTATTTACATTTCATATATATGTGACCCTGGACCACAAAACCAGTCATACGTGTCAATTGTCTGAATAAATAAGCTTTCCATTGGTGTATGGTTTGTTATAGGACAATATTTGGCTGAGATACAACTACCTGAAAATCTGGAATCTCAGGGTGCAAAAAAAAAAATCGAAATACTGTTAAAATCACCTTTAAAGTTGTCTAAATTAAGTTCTTAGCAATGCATATTACTAATCAGATATTAAGTTTTGATATACTTACGGTAGGGAATTTACAAAATATCTTCATGGAACATGATCTTTACTTAATATCCTAATGATTTTTTGGCATATAAGAAAACTCAATAATTTTGACCCATTGGTTATTGCTACAAATATACCCATGCTACTTATGACTGGTTTTGTGGTCCAGGGTCACATAAGTGTACTAAATCAACTATTCTATTTAAAATTGTGATTTGAAAATTTTGTTTAATAATTTAATATCCGATGACAGACAAAGCAGAGTCCCATTAAAAGAGATTCATGTAAAGGTCAAATTATTCTATGAATTATATACAAGCACATGAATACATACATGTTTAATTGGCCATATTATAAGATATAACATAATAGCAACACTATGAATTCTAACTGAACTTATTTCACTCAATTTCTAGTACAGGTTTTAATGATTAGTGAAGATGTCTAAAGTGTACATCTAACTCACTAAGAGCCACTAAGAGCCTTTTGTTTGGGCATCTTACCACAAGGCTCTGATTTTACCCTTTCAAAATAAAAACTATATTTTTTACTCCACACATCTGAAACATTTATGTGTCCACAAATCTCTTATTAACAAATAGACACAAAAACCTTTGATATTCAGCATAATACAATATCATAGATAATGATAGCCAAGCCATTCATTAAATGTGTTGGTGGGGTAATTTACTTTAAAACCTTTAACATCTTTGTAACAAATAAATGAACAAATACCATCGTACTGTAGAAAAAAACTTGTTCGATGCCATCTGTATCTAATTCTGATAAAGTACACTGTTGCTAAATGTCTTGCACAGCTGAATTCCATTAGCCTCCATTTTACTCAATGGCCTCTTCTATCCTGATTCCATCCACCAGCAGGGAATGAACTATTCCATTTCGCTTCCTTCCACTACTTGTTGCTTTAATGCAGCATTCATGGTTCTCCACTGCAAAGTGTGTCTCGCTTCCATTCTCTGTAAACTCCCCCTGCACAAAGGAAATCAATATAAACACAGGCCTATGACTAAACAAGCACCAGTCTTGGGAAAGATGTGATATGAAAAAGATGGTGTTAAGTTTTTCCACAGTGGCCACACAACTACACCATTAGCCGACTTGACTCAGACTTAAATAAACAATGGACCAAAGTGGATCTTTCATAGACCCAAAGGCATGTGCTAGTCTGAAATGCAGTATTTAAATTACTTACCATAGTCTCTATTTTCTGTCCATTGCACCATACATCCATAGTGTCTTTCTCTAGTGAAACAGAAAAAAAAACAATAGTTTGCTAATAGTTGTGTTTTAATTACAGTTTAACTGTCTAATGTCTGCATGAGAACAGGACAAATCAAACAAGCACATTTTTCTGTTCTTTTAGTAAAGCAACATGCACTAATTTAGTCCAGACGTTTTCACACTTTTTGATGCCCCAGACCCCCACATGATGATCCCCTTGAGAGGACATCCCTTCCTAAAATATAATGGCAGCTGTATTTTCATTAAAAAAAAGTAAACCGTTTTAGTTTACTTTTACAAATTTTTCTGCTGACTCCGGACCCTAATTGGAAGTCCTTCTCTTCTTACAGTGTGGTTGGACAATATAATATACAAAGCATATTCTTTTTACATCATAAATCAAAGGGGATGTTTTGACAGTGTCTCTTACCTAGAACTACCCTGTAATCAGCACCACCCAGTTTCAGCACCCATGTTTTGGCCATTTTTGATCGGTTGTCCAGAAAAGTTTGGAGACTTTTTCCGTTGATGTCCAGTGTGTACTCATAGGAAAACCCAGTGATCGCCTCAATAGATATGGTTGCTTTTGTATCTGTGCTCCCAACAGGGAATGTTTCTTTGCCCACCAGTTTGAACATCCAATCCCTCCTCAACACCTCCTTAAAAAGTGGATAAGACTTATTTAATATGATCTTATTCATATAATATCTGGTCTCTACATAGTATCAGATATGATCTTATTTTATTATCTTAATTATAATAACATAAGATACATATTACCCCTTATCTTATTATTGTCTTAATATCAAATTCAAGGTAAAATAAAAAGATTACATAAAAATTTTAATAGAAACTTGAAATATAAAACTTTTTATATGAAGTAGGCCACAGCCTAAATTTAATGATTATATAGGCCTACATATATAAAAATATAGACAACTATCTAATCTAATCTAACATAATGACAAATAAAATAAATACATTACTGACTACTTCTCACCTTCCCATTAATGTAAATGACCCGTTTCCCTGTTGTTGTTCCATGTTCAAACTCAATTCGGTAAACCCCATCACTTAGCGACACGTCCCACGCTCCCACAATGTTTTCGGACATGCTGCGTTAAGATCCACACTGCCCAACCGCTCTATACTATTTTTAATTCTATGTAATGTTTTAGCTTCCGCTTGATCATAGTAGCAGTCCTCATTATGAGCAACTGCTGATTAAATCTCTGTATATTATTGAGGCTGCCATCCTATACATGCTCTCTCAGCAACGAGTGCATTAGTGTAAGAGGCTTAACTTGTCAAGGCAGTTGAGTGTTTGAGGAGACAGTTATTTTCACTGCAATTAAATTTAAGTTGACATTAGGTCTAGGAGTAAAAATCATAAAAACTTTTTCAATTGTTAAAAAGCTTGGATGTTTTTGATGCTCTGGGGTCACTACCAATAGATGGCAGTCCTCTCTCTCTCTCTCTCTCTCCCTCCCTCCCTATTATTAATTAAATAAATAAATACAGTTTTATTATAACCTGAAGCAGATTGAACGGCAAACATGCATATTTGTGTAGGCTTTGTGATCAATAAACTTTGTTTTTTAATATTAAAACAATTACATAAAATACTTTACAACCCACTTTAATGCAATGTTATGGAATATGAAGTTGTGCGAAGTTAACGTAGCATATGTACGTAACATATTAGCAAGTCACGCTATTATCATATCAAAAGCGAGTGGGCGTGGTCAATCTGGCTGTGAACCCCGCTTGTTCAGAACTTTCTTCCAGATTTCAGTGCGTGGAGCTCAGAGAGCATTGAGTAGCATTGGAGACGATGATCGTGAGCTGAGTGTCTTTTCACGCCGTTGTTTAAAGGATACAAACGGAAAAAGTGTTGTGGAGTTTTGCCTGTCTTTCCTGGAAAGTACTGGACGTAACTGAATATTGTAATGAGGGAATTTAGACGGAATAATGCATTTCCCTCAATCATTTGACAAACTCATTCGCTTTGGATTATGACATTATATAATTTTTCTACGAAGACGAGTTGGAATTACTGTTAGTGGTTTCTTTACATCCGTTTTACATAGTTTTATTAAGTATTGTTCTGTCTTTGTTAACTATTAGTAATGTAACACGTTTTAACCGTTTGTTTGTCACTCTTGATAATTTGTGACTCGCTGCTGTTGGATCAAATTACGCTACAACCATTTCCAAACCTACTCGCCTATCCAATGTCATAATTCTGGAGTGATTTGTGTTTATGTACTGTAGCAGTATAATTGCAATGAAAAATCTTCAGGTACATGTCATTTTGTTGACTCTGACGTGGATTCATGCATCTGACTTGAAGTCTTCCAAGGTCCTGAATTACACAGGAGCAGAAGAAGGAAATGCACAATTACAACCAAACACTTTTGTCAAAAAGTACACAAATGATATACAATCACATAGAAGATCTGCAAGGTTATCCACTTCCAGGAACACAGATATACTCAGGAAGCCTCAGAATGATCAGAACGTGGAGTCCTCACGACCCCCAGCCAGGAGGCTCCTGAAAGGGCAAAGACCAGTTCCGCACAGGAAACCCAGTGTAACTAACAGCAGTCCTGCTCAAGAACCTAATTTTCAATCTACTCCACTGGGCGCCACTAGCTCCATTAACATCTTGGCTGGCTTTGCAGGTAAAAACCGTGTGCTGGTCATTTCGGCTCCCAACGACTCTGATGGCTATTACAGGTTAATGATGAACTTGCTCAAGCCTGATGTGTACTGCGAGATGGCGGACAGACACATGCAGCAGATCATAATGTTTCATGACAAGGGGAAGATGGGAGGCAAGGTGAGACGAGTTAGCAATCAGGGATCTCTGGTGGAGGAGCCGCTGGATCCAGCCCTGGTGCCAAGACTGATGGGCTTCCTGAAGTTGGAGGATGGTAAGTTTGGAATGGTGCTTCTAAGAAAAAGCCTTCAGGTAGAGGAAAGATACCCATACCCTGTTCAGCTGGAGGCAATTTATGAAGCCGTAGACCAGGCACCTATGCGTAGACTGGAGAAGGCCAGGCAAAAGGGCTTTGTGCAAAAGTGCAAGACTGCTGGAGTTGAGGGCCAAGTGGTGCAGTCTGTTGGCTCAAATGCAGTTGGTCTGCAACCACAGATGAACATGGCAGAAAACACAAGGCGACACATGGTAAAACCGGTCCCTCAGCCCACCCAGATGACTCAGGCACAAATATCAACTACCATCATCACTACTACAATGACTACAACCACAAAACGTACTACCTTGAAAACTACAACCTCAAAACCAACTATAACAACCACTGCACCCTCTACCACCATTTTCCCCTCAACAACAACTACTATTACTACAAATATACCCACAACAGTGGAGCAAACACATCCACACACAACCGTACCCTGGCACACATCTGGTCCCAATACCTCTGAACGTGTCTACCGGTCCTCACCACAAAACCATCTGAGGGACACAACTACTCATCTCTCTGTTACCTCAAACTTCTACAAACAACATAAAGAAAAATACCCAGACCACACGCAAAAGATTTCAACTGCAATCTCACCAACACAAGCATCCATACAGAAGCCCAAGGACAAACTGCCTGTGGTGAAACATGGATGGAGTAAAAAGCTTAGTCAGCACAGCAGAGAACGTGACACACAGAGGCCCACTGCTAATAAACCAGAGACGGAACTTATGACCAGCCAAAAGGGGAAAAATAAACCTGACAGTGCCGACAGGAGGAAGAAGATGCATAGACCTGAAAAGCCTTTAAGGAAGATACCCGCAGGGGGAAAAGACTCAAAAGTGACTAAGGAGACAAATGTCAGTGTTCAAAATAAAAAAGTGCAAAAGCCAGATGTCTTTGAAGAAAGGGCTGTTGTGGATCAGGCAGCGAATCCCAAGAAATCGTTAGACACTTTTTTGAGTTATTTTCAGAGAAGACGACGAATCATGGTACGTATGGCATAAGTGAGACACATGAAAAAAGTAATATAGAGATATAGCTCGGGGCTCAACAATAAGGATTTTACAATGCCCAATGGATAAGTGCTATAGCTTACAATATTTTTTTATTTTTGATCATTACACATTACATGTCACAAAATGTTTTCTAAGACAGTTGGTGATATGGAATTCTGTACTTATCTATAGATAAAATATTTAGAATTTGAGCTATTACTGCAATATTTCTTTAGAAAAAGTTTAGAAAAATTAGCATTTGATGAAAACAAAAAATTGTGTGTAAAACTGTAAAAGTATTTTCTTAAATATATTTTTAAATATTTCTAAAATAAATATTAATGTAAAAAATGCATTAAATGACTATTTTTACATTTTAAATGTAAACATTTAAATTCATAATTTAACTTATCCAATCCTTACTATTGAGGCCTGTAAATATTCTGCATTTAGGATTCTATGAAGAACATTCAACATCTAAAGTGTAAAAATGTTCTACACACTAAGAGAACAATTCTTTTAAGATCCTTTCACTGAAAGGGAAACCCAAAATGTGAAACCCCCCTTTTGGAACCTTTATTTTCAGAAGTGATGATATACAAGTTAGGTTTAAAGTTGCATTATTTGCTCATTAAAAAAATTATATAACATTCTAAAAAAATTAAGAAGTATTTTGGTTCATAAAAGCACTTTAACAACTGTTTAGTGTCTTATTAATCTTCTCATTCTCATCGGCTGCAGATAATTACTGCTCCAGATGAGCAGAATCATATGTACAGTGAACAGAGGGATGAGTACCTGGAGCAAGTTTGTGATATGGCACTACGTAAAATGTCCATCATCAGCATCTTTGGGCCCCTCACAAACAGTACCATGAAGATTGAACACTACCAGACAGGTCAGTGCTGCTTACCGTGTTTGTTTGTAAAATGTCCTATCAAAATGTCTTCATTCAGATTCTATTATTATTATTATTATTATTATTTAACAGAACAGGATAGGCCCTTGCGAGGCCTGCCGGACAGTGACCTTATCAACCAGGACCTCATCACAGCATTTCGGAAGCATTTCGGGATGATTTATAATGATTTCAACATGGTGTTGACTGACTTTGACATGAAAGTCAAGGTGTGTAGTAAAAAAAAAAACCTAGATAATTTTATCAATGTATATGAGATAGATATGCATCGATATGAAAATTTTGGCCGATACCGATAACCGATTATTCTTTATTTTTGAAAGCCGATAACCGATATGTTGGCCGATAAATCTATATCCAAATTGTTATATACTTTTTGAGAGCCTGATTACAAAAAAGGGCTCATCATTAAAAGCCACATCCCAAACGCTAAGCAGCCTAGTTTGAACAGTGTACGTTTTAAAAATATTTTTACTCTCCCATTACCAAATTTAGTCATAAAAAAGTCTTACAAATAAATAAAATTATGCATAAATAATGCAAACAAGTCACTGGACATCATTACACGTGTAAAGAATCAAAATGAATGCGCCATAGATCAATAAAACGGAATAGCCTCTGCACGGACAATAATTAAATGATTTTAATTACTAAACCATATTGTTGATGAAAATAATAAGAGAACAATACAAGTGGTTGTTGTTATTAATAATGTATCAATGATTTTGAAAAAGTAACAAATTAATACCACTGTTTTAAATAGCAGCCGTTGAGCTGCGCGTGCTGAAGCTGAAGAGCTGAATGAACACGGTAAACTGAAGCGTTTTGCTGGCAGCTTATTTAACTCAAGGAAATGCATCCTGAGATTAATATTAATACCACATAAACATAATATTACAACTTATATATGTACAAAATGACGCAGTTATTGCATGCTATAGTCAGAATGTGTGATCCTGTTGTGGATGCGCTCTTCCCATAACAACGCACTGAAACATGGCAACTAAACCCAAAGAATTCACAATGTTTTATTATAATAATGTTCTCATTAGAATGTTATATACACGACATTCCCAATCATAGTTATTATTGTTGTGCACTGCTGTTTGAGCTGCGTGTGCTGAGCTAAAGATGATCACCGGTAAACTGAAGCGCTCTTTTAACTTAACCAAACGCATTCTATATGAGATAAATCAGATATACATCAAATAAACACAATATTACAACGTACAATTGCACAAACGGCTGCAAACGAACAGCGCGCATCTGAAGTGTCTCTGAAGGAAATAATGCATTATTTATCGGCTTTAAGATATCGGCCAAATTTTCTTATCAGGCCGATACCGATAACAGAAAAAATGAGCCGATATGGGCCGATACCGATATGGTGGCCGATATATCGTGCATCCCTAATATGAGATGTAGATGTAATCATTCCTGATCAAATTTTATAACACAAAATTATGCATTCCTGGTTTCCACAGCAACGATATGAAGTGCCGATTGTCATGAAAGCAGTGTTAGACTACATTGACACATTGTCAACCCGCATTAAAGAAATAGAACAGCAGAGGAAACTTGTAGTTATGTGCAAGAAAGAAGATAAATTAAGATCTCTTGAGGACTTCCTATCTAGGTTTGAAATGGCTTTTTGTGAAAATATATAATGTATTAACATAAAGAATAGGCTCATCTCAATGCTTTTTCATTAAAATGTCTCTTTAAGATTCCGTTGGAGGCGGAGACTGTTTGTAATATCCACCCCTACTGATGAAGAATGGGCCTATCAGCAACAACTCTACACCATTAATAGCCAAGCCTGCAATCTGGGTGAGATCCTTTGGGTAAACCGTAGCAACGTAATTTAAGAACATCTTCCATTTAATTCTACATACTTTAATAAACATGTGCTTTTAAATGTAAACATACTACTAGTGCTATTTACTATAGACAAATCCAAAAGAATGAGACAAAGAGAAATGCTTCATTTCACATTCAGTGGTGTAGGCTGTATACTATTACATTATCACCAAAGCCCATAGACTTGAAATATTTACTTGAAGCACAACGTACACTATTAAACAATATGTAGGATTTCTATTAGGCATTAAACAGAATATCCATTAAAAGTTATTTCAGCCAGTGGAATCACATTGGCGTCCTAGACGGACTGAATTGTTCATGACATCAGTAGTTGCGTAAAACTAGCCCATCTGAAAATGTACTAGACTGAGAAATTGCAGGAAAGTTGAGACTATATATCACCACACTCAAATGATCAATATGTTATGAAATGCAGAACGCTCTAAGAGCTTTGCTGTATCAACACCACTTCCAAATGTTTATGTAACTTGGGAAAATAGACACTTTTTTTGTTCTCTGAAATTCCATGATAAGCATTTATAAACAAATTTGGGGTCCATTCCAATGAACACCCTATGCACTCATGTCAACAGCTGTAATTTTTATGGACATTCCAATCAAAACTGCATGATTTAATACAACTACTCTTAAGTTCATTATACATTATCTGGATGTCTGACCTTCCAAAAAACCAGCTTAACAACAGCTGACAACTAACGTTAAAAAACTATTTGCAGTACATCTTGGGAACTGGTCAAAGTCAGATTCTCCAGAGATCTTCCTGCTTATAGAAATGCACATGTTATTGGTACTTTTCTTTGAACTGGAACCAGCTCTCATCTTCACAAGAGCCCTCAATCACAAATGCCTCTGAGGAATGGCACCAATAAAAATAGGATGACGCAGGCCTTTTACAGCTCTTTTGTTGGCTATTTTGGAGGTAGGAACATTGTTAAGAATCTTGCTCTGCATTCTTTACAATCCAGGAGGACCTGTGGATGTTTGGGTCCTGCATAGCGATCCAACAGAGACCACTTCCTCTCTGTGGCATGACAGCTTGATTGATACCCTCATAAAAGAAGGCTTGTTTTAGAACAAAAAACAACAACGGACATCTTTAATGCAGATCACATGCATGTTTCAGAGAACATCTCTATAAAAAACTCTCACTCCAATCTCATGTATATAGTACGAGTCAGAGTTGGAAACGGCTGAGTCATCTTTAGTTGTTTATCTGTTTAGTCTTTCCGGGCATCTATGAATTAACCAGCGTTTTTCATTAATTGTTATAAATTCACAGGCCTGCGTCATATATCTCTATTGAAACTTGTTGGAAAAACCCTGGATGACATGAGTGGAGTCCTGGAGCTTTATCCCATAAATGGTGAGATTGTTTTGCATTGAACAAAACTCTTTTATGGCCCCTGCACTTCCTTTATTGCTAAAAATATGATGTATAGTGCCATTTTATTATGGAAAAAACTTAGGAAAATCTGGTTTGCATTGCAGGAAGTGTATCAGTGGACCGTGAGGACCTGTCTGCCTCGCTGGTGCAGGACATTAGGAACTACTTCCAGATCAGCCAAGAATATTTCTCCATGCTGCTTGTCGGGAAAGATGGCAATGTGAAATCCTGGTATCCCTCCCCTATGTGGTCCATGTCAATCATTTACGAGCTGGTCGACTCCATGCAGCTTCGTAGGCAGGAGATGGCCATCCAGCAGTCTCTCGGCATGCGCTGCCCTGACGATGAGTATAGTCATCATGATGGTTACCATGAGGGCTATCATCGTGGTTACGGATATTAAGAACAGAGGGGAATGTCTTAGAGCCTGTGCACTCTCTACTAGGAAAAGTGTGAAGTTTCAAATGTCAGAAAACCTTGCTTTTGTGTTTTTCTTATTAACTACTGACTACGGACAACTCTCACTTTACTATTTTGTTGTAGCTGATATTTAGATTTGCTCTTGACATGAAGTAGATGATTTCTTTGATGTTTTTGATTTTGACTTTTCATAACATGAATGTATTTGCATGTGGGAATGAGTTGTTTTTTTTAAATGGTACGTTTACGAATTAACAATAATAAACTTTAAATTCCAATAAAGAAAAAAAAGTGATTTGTTAATGTTTGTGTTTGTATTTTGTTCATCAATTAATCTCAGAGAAGCAAAAGCAAAAGCAAAATATTTTGTAGACTGTAAAGTCCTAAGAAAGCATTTCATATTCTGGGAACTTTTATGTATGGGCTGTTTTAGCTGAATATTCTTCCATCTGGAATTTCTCTACGGACCTCTACTGGGCATTTTGGGATAGTGTAAAAATATGTCTTGCAGAGTATTGTATACGTAGTGTGTAGTTTTGTAAGTGGACTACAAACCATTTTGTAAGTGGATTTTTCATACATCTAATGATCTGCTGGAAGATTTAAAATAGTCTTTTTAAAAAAGCCAAATGTTAAACGAGGTTATTAGCATATCTGTAGTTGAGCACTTTACATTTTAATTAGTGCAAACCGTACATATTTTATACCAAAATAAATGCACAGAGCCACATTTTCAGTGATCAGGTCATTTATTTTACTTCTGCAGAAAACATCTACAAAATCCTACTTGTACAGAAAACCACTCAATATGTTCTTCTTTTGTATCCAACATCATAGAGCACATAACACCTAAAAACAAATAAATACCGTAAAAAGTAAATACTAATGTTGTTCCCACACACAAAATACTCATACAACCCCATTTTGGTCTCAAATTTCCACAATTCTTTACAACATGACTAAAATATTGCTAGAGATTAAAAATGACATTTTGTTATAATGTTGGCACAATCATTATACAGTGAACAAGACAATCATGTTATTGCTGTAAAAATACACATTTCAAATTGTATTCTGATGAAGGCTGAATATTTAAGAAAATATATCTATAAACAGTATTATTGCAAGTAAATTAAGCACTGCATATTTCTAAAAAAAGCTTTCTACTGCAACATTTTTCTTTAAAGTTAGACCATAAAGACTTAAAGATACTTGCCAAGCTGAATAAACAAGTATGCTCTAATAGATGGTGCAATGCACTAACTATACCAAGTAATATTACCATGTAATTATAGACTAATCTAAATAATTACCTTAATTCTGTTGTGTGTAATCTGATATATCCAGGACTATAAGAGCAGTGTTCAATAAACACACAAATGTCTTCCTCTTTATCTGTAAATTCAGTGCTTTTTAAAGAATAATTTATTAAATAAAATGGTAACACTTTATTTTAAGGACCAATTCTCACTATTAACTATCACTCTCAGAAAAAAAGGCACAAAAGCTGTCACGGAGGCGGTACCCTTTCAAAAGGCACACCTTTGTACCTAAACAGTCCATATTGGTACCTTAAAGGTACATATTAGTACCTAAAAGGTACAAAAGTGTACCTTTTGAAAAGGTACCGCCCCAGTGACAGCTTTTGTACCTTTTTTTCTGAGAGTGTAGCATGCATATTACTAATATATTGGCGGGTACTTACAAAGCACATATTGGATTAGATCCCTTAATCCAACCCCATACCTAAACTTAAAAACTACCTTACTAACTTTTAATAAGCAGCAAATTAGAAATTTATTGATGCAAAATTCATTAGAATAGTTAGAATTGCACCTTAAAATAAAGTGTGACCAATAAAACATAGATGGAATGTCCAACAAAACTAAAGTCACTTAAGCCCCGTTCACACCATGAACGATATCATGTTTGTTATAATCGCACGCTCGTCCGCCGCTTTCAATTCTCGAGCTCGTTACAGCAGGATGGATTCTGATTGGCTGTCAACGATATCGTTTCTCTGTTTTTATCGTTATAGTTGTGGTGTGGATTCTTTAATATTGAGAACGATTTTTAGAACCATCTTTGTTATCGTCCTTGGTGTGAACGGGCCTTTATAGTTTGAAGGAGAAATTGTATAATTTAAGGCCAGCAGCACAGCATGATAAACTGTTGCAACATTATACAACAGTTAGCATTGTTCCTCAAATTTGATTGGTCACATGACTGTCTGTTTGATTTAGTCACCGATTCAGTCAAAAACAAAACCATACTACTTTGTGTTGCACAGAGGTTAATTGTTTTGCCGCTTCATTTGGAACTTTTTTCTTTGACAGACCACAAACAGACAAAAATTACTGACAAGGTTGTGTCTAAAAGGTCACATATCGTCATCTCTCTCTTTTATGATCAAAAAGCAATATCACAACCATAATTGTGCTGCTATTCAAAATCAGCTCCAACCAAATGTGCTGACAAAGAAAAATATTTTTGATAAGTCAGCGAAGAAAACTGGACCAAGTGTTGTTTTTTTTCATCTTCATAAGAATATTTCTATTCGAGATCAAAATGTGTGTAAAAAAATTAAAGTAATCTGCAGTGAAAGTACCATAATTCTGCAAATGTGTCAGAGAAAAACAGAAAAGATTGCAGATTCAAACAAGCACTTACATTAATAATGTGATAGTATTGGCTAAAAACGTCAGACTACTTATTTTGTCCTAGTTGCTTAGCTTCAAGTAAAGTAAGGCATCATAATGGTGTGAATAAAATATTAAATAAGTGCATTTTGTTCTTCACACTCTGTGACCCACAACGGCCACTTTCAGTGTATACTTGTGAACTCAGTTATCAAAATCACCAGTGCTTTTATAACCTTTAAAGCTGGGTCTGTGACTGATTTGGAAATGCTGCATTTTCTTAATATACAGTTATTATTGATTTTGACCTATTTGACCCAATACATTATTTTTACCTATGCATTCAGTTGAACGGAAAGACTATTCTATAACCTTGTGCTTAACGGATACTGATGTAAGGTGTTTCAAGCCTCTGGAACGGTTTCTGTTGAGGGTAATTCATTCTGTCCTTCAGATCCCCTTCTTTTGTACAGTTTATACAGCCAAGCAATCAAGAATATCACAGCTATTACAGCAAAGTAACTTGCATAGATCAGAAACTGTGGAAAGGAGCAGACAAAATTGCAAACGATATTAGCAAACTTTCATTAGTGATCCACATTCATGACACACTGAGCTAGGTATATGTTGTACTTCACCTGTAGAAAAATGTCCAGGCCTAGACCGACAGAATCTACTACAATCACAGTAAGAAGCGTCTGCAGTAGAAGTGCGATGAAAGTGTTTATTCCAAAAACCAAAGCATATCTTCTCATACTTAGGTTAGCAGCTATCTGATACCTGCAATATAAAAGAAGGCCATTTTTTGGAAGAAATATGAGTGGCAATTGTCAAGTGCACAAGGAGAACTTGACTGAAAGAGCCAATAGAATTTCAGATAAAAGAGCAGTCATGTTTAGAAGGGAGTCTTGCAGCAACAAGATTTTGTGCAAATGAAACAAACACTGATGAATATGGAAAAAGTAGGTATTAAAATGGCTCAAAACTGATAAAAATACAGATGGGTATGGAAGCAATGACTGAGTTTGGGCTCTCTGCAATTTACAATCTCTGAAGGTGAGAGATTTTAAGGCAGAAAGTATGGAAGGATATGGAGACAGAAAGCAGTACTTGTTAATTTAGCTTTTGCACATCCTATTTCAGTTTGATGTTTTTTGTTAGATATCCTCCTTAATCAGTGATTCTCAACCTGGGGGCCAGAACTTCCAAGAGGGCCACAAGATGGCTATAAATGAATTTAAATAAGACTAAACAAGCTAAAATCCAGATGTAAGCTGGCATATATCTAATTTTAATTCATTCCTTAACAACTGCCATTTTATTTTAATTGTCATCTCAGAAAACCTGGATACATGAGGGAATTTATAGACCTGGTAAAGACAGACAGATAGAAATTGCTATTTATTAATCAAATATAACTTTGAAAAAAAACTGTAAATCACAAGTGACTAGAAAAGTCATGTAAATTAAACACATTCAGTACTGATTTCTGGAACTATGAAATTGCATTATCTTAATTATTTATAACTATTTAACTGTTTTAATATATTGCCAGTCCTATGTTCTGAAATACAAAATAAAGATGTAAAGAAGCAGCTGTCAATACAGTACCAGAAACATCTTGGGGTGAACCTTCAGATATTGGCTTTGACGTTAAACGTTGAGAACCACAGTCTTGAATATCAACAGTAATAATCAGCAGCAGTAGGAGTTAAATTTTTCATATTGCAATCCAACTACAAGTTATACCAAAATAATTGCAATAAGCTTTTTTTGGGCCACATCATGCAGTAGCATCAGAAAATAAAACTAGGTATGTGCCCGCCGAATTATTATGGGCCATACACCCAAAAATCTATTAACTGCTAAACAATTAAATGAATCAAAATCCTTTTAAACAATCAATAGAACAGTGGTTCCCAACCCTGGTCCTACAGTACCTACCAAAAGCTGCACATTTTAGATGCCTCTAATGAAACACAACTGATTCAACTCTTCAGCTCATTAGAAGAAACTCCAAGACCTGAAATAGTTGTGGCAAATAAGAGAGACATCCATGTGCAGTGTAATAATTTAAATTGACCTTACAACAACTCCATGTCAGCTTCCGTGATTTGATTTCAGAAATCATGTTACACATTTTTCTTTGTGTTACAGTCAGTCAATTGTGTCTTGTTTTTTACAGTTATATTTAGTGTAGAAAAATAAGCTGATACACAAGCATGTGCCTTTTTTTGCAAGATGATAAAGTGCACTTGAAGTGACTGATTTCTAAAATCATCAGCGATCGAGCCAACTTGTGATGTCTTTTCGATAGATGGACACAGATTACCCACCCGAGAGTGGTAAAGCAGTCACTGAGGTAAGGTCAAAGACACAGGGTTCCTAGTACTTTGTAGTCAGAACAAAGTCAAAAGATACCCAGCTTACAATGGATTTCTAAAGAAAATGGATACAGATTGACAGCTTTACTTACGTTGCTATGGTGATAAGCAGCATGTAGGTAGCTCTGAAGAGCATGTAGGAAGTGTAGCAAACCCAGATATTTCGGACGGTGTCCATGAGGTACACACACACTGCAATTACCACAGAGAAAATGCAAAGGGCGAGTTCTCCCCACACTGCCCAGGACACTTTCACAAAGCTTACAACAAATGCTGCAAAAGCGCCTGGTGGAGAAGAAAACAAACAGATAAATTAATTAATTTGGGGAAAAATGTGTTGAACTGTTTTATTGTGAATCACATAACTCAGTTGTGTGTCTGCTGTTATATATGACCGTTGAATTTGTTTATGATAATGATGAAAATGCTGGTAACTACGGAAGCTTGATTTCACCTTGGGATAAAACAATAAAAAAAGGTAACGGCAACTTTTTCTCCCACAGTGTTGAGTTCATATCTCACAATTCGGACTTTGTTTCTCACAATTCTGTGAAAAAAAGGAGTCAGAATTGCAAGATGTACACTCAGCATTTTGAGTTTTTCCTCACAGTTCCGAGTTTACATCTCACAATTTTGACTTTTTTCTAAAAAATAAAATAAAATAAAATTCGGATTTTTTCAGAATTCCGAGTTTACATCTCGCAATTCAGTTTGTTTGTTTTTTGCTTCCACCATGGCAAGCAAAAAAAAATAAAATAAAATAAAATTTACTTTTCAATTACAATAAGTTAACATACTAATGTTTTACCCAAGAATTACAACTTTATGTCTCGCAACTGAATTTACATCTTGCCATTCTGGAAACTGTTTTATTGTGAATCACATAACTCAGTTGTGTGTCTGCTGTTATATATGACCGTTGAATTTGTTTATGATAATGATGAAAATGCTGGTAACTATGGAAGCTTGATTTCACCTTGGGATAAAACAATAATTGGGAGAAACAAAGTCTGAATTGTGACATATTAATTGTGAGAAAAATGTTTGAATAACTTTTAATAAAGAGATACAGCCACAATTAATGTTGTTGTTGTTTTTTTTATCCTGTGGTGAAAACGGTCTTCCATAGGTATAATGTATTCTCTGTTACCTATGCTTTTAAGAATGGGAATATAATAAAATGAATTGAATAAACATAACCAGATGGCCATACCAAGCAAGGTAGATATTGTCTCCACGTATCCATTGTAGATCTCAAAATCACTGGAAGGCAAGATTTTCTCCCAAAGTGCTTGAGCATAATTAATCACCTGGAGGTAACCACATGTGGATAAAGCCCACCACACTGACCAGGCCAGTAGGGTAGAGCAGGAGTAACACTCAAGGAAGTCTGACCAGAGCATTTTTAACACTTCCAGTAATCCACTACTGCTAGTATTGTCCTTGAGAGTCTGAAAGTCAAACAAATGAGTCAAACCAAGCCATAGAGACACATGCATATGTCTGTGAACATATCAGTGCGCGCAAATTTTTGTATTCTTTTAAGGCCAGTATTTAAGGGATAGTTCACCTAAAAATGAAAATTGTCATCATTTCCTCTCCCCCTATGTTGTTCCAAACACATAAGACTTCAAAACACAAATTACGATCATTCCAATAAAACCTGGGATGTTTCTTTCCTTCCATTGAAAATCCAGGTAACTAAAACTTAGAAGATGCAAAAGGGTCATGGAGTAGTTGTTAAATGAATCCATATGAATCAAATGGTTTAATTTAAAGTTTTGTGAAGAGACATGCTCTCTTTATAAGATAAACAGATTTAAATTATGCTTTTATTCACACATTAAACACACATACATAAAGCAAATGCTGAAGACAGCCTACAATTAGCAATTCTTTAAAAGACAGCTACTTAACCACACAAACACTCTCCTATAAGCCTATAAAAAATCTTGTGACGCAGATTTAGTAATTAATGCAGGATTTTGCTTTAGTGAAAAGATTAAACTTCTAGGATTAGACAAATAGCTGGCAGATTCCAATCTATGGGCGAGGGGCACTCTTACACCCAAGTATATATTCTTCACATCACAATATATTATTTACATCTTTTTCTAAACATGTAGATTATTTGAAGCGAGTGAGTAACAGAATATATAGGCTATGTAGCAAAAAAAAAATCTAAATTTATTTTTATTTGATCTTATTTCATTATTACATTCAGAACCGATATTCCGCTTTCTGTTAAAGCCCTTTAGTTATCGAAGTTACTTTTCAAAGACGTCTGACATCACTTCACTGTACGCTTACATCACCCTTCAAGCACATTTACCTCAGTCTCCGTCAGGTTTTTATCAGGCCCCATCAAAAACGGTATTAGAAAAGGTTCCAGTGGTCTGTGGCTGCAGAAAAATCCATAAATACATAGTAAAATGGTAGGGTAAAGCCATGGTTCAGACATACTCGCTCGCGCCAATTGACCTTCTTGCTACGAACAATGCAGGAACATTTTGCAACAACGCTCTCGCTCCCCGGTTTTAACACGAGTCAAAGGGACAAGCGGCGCGGGAGAGTGACGTCAGGTAACAAGCCAATGAGAGCGCTTTTCGTTGACACGCCCCCCTCAGACAAAGCTGTGCGAGAATTTGCAGGGAATGTGTTTTACTGTTTGTCATCATGATTCATGAAATATTTCATGGCATTATTGTCAAATGATTGTTTCCAGATGATAGGGCTAGGCAAGAACTTTGAACATAAGGTACAAAAAATATCAACAAAATTAAAAGAGTGTGAGAAATAGACCTTAGTCAGGGTCAGTGTTGGGGAAAGTTACTTTTAAAAGTAATGCATTACAATATCGCGTTACTCCATAAAAAAGTAACTAATTACGGTACTTAGTTACTTTTTATGGAAAGTAATGCGTTACGTTACTTTTGCGTTACTTGTTAAATCTGGACAGGGCTTGCTTGTTTGTTTTTATTCTTGGCAAATATAAAAGCCTTTTCACACCAAAAGTGAAATGAATAAGCCTCAGGCTGAAGAGAAAGTAAATTTACGTCCGTACAGTAGAATGCAGAAGAAGAAATTTCAACACACTTCAGCAGTAAAAAAAGACACATAAATGTTTGTCTAGAGTAGTTTTTGCGTATTAGTACGGTTGAACTGGATCATCGAAGGTCAGAAGCAAAGACATTGCTTAATAGAATGGGATTAAATACATAAAGCATATTTGTGTTGTTTAACATTTAATTATTGCAGGTTTGCGTCATATTCTGAGTTGCATTATTTTTATTCATTTTGAGGAATACTGTATCTGTGTGTTTTTGTGTGTGAGTGAGATGAATTAATGCATATTCATATTTATTTTGAACTACAGTAACATCTGATTTCTCTCAACATGGGGACAGGAGAGCTGTCAATCAATAAATTGAAGGGGAAAAAAAGTAACTTGCGTTACTTATTTGAAAAAGTAACTCAGATATTCTCTTGTAAATTAAACTTGCGTTACTTGTAATATATTACCCCCGACACTGGTCAGGGTAGTGTCATATTTAATCTTTTGACTCGAATGATTATGAGGCTGAGAGAGTGTGTTAAACCTGGGTTAATTCTCAATAAGAATGTTTGTAGATGTATCAAAAATTAGTTGGTAACAAGTGAAGATGGTAATGCTGTTTTTGGAATTGTGGAATCATCCTCCTACATTTTCTTATTACTGTATGTTGAATATTGTTGATGCAGAATTTACTTACAGTGTCATAAATATTAAGTCACTGACTCACTAAAGGTTTAATGGCCCAGCATGCACACACACACACACACACACACACACACACAAGCAGACACAGTACATATGCCTACCTGATTTGGTTTAAGGCTATATTTTACAATATTATACATAGGTTTCTGGCCCAAAACAGTTATGGTTTATTTGCTTCAGTCTTGGCTGTACAGTGACCTGCTTGTGGACCAGATCTGGCAAACAGGAGTGCATTGCCAAAATGCTACCATTCCATGCAACATGTGGGCCATATGAACAGGAGAAAAGTGTGAAAGTCCTGGGCTAGAGTACAAATAAACTGTGACACACAATAAGCCCAGGTTTGGTTGATTTGGTCTGTTCCTGGCTGCATATAGGCACTGATTTATGTTTTTGCCAGTGGGTGACCACCCTCAATATACAATACCTCCATTACGTTAAGAATAGATGTTTATTCTAGCTTTACAGAAAGTCTTTTCTCCTATCTGCCAAAATATATAATCAATATCAAGTAATGGTTGGATATTGGCTTTGTGAGTGTTGTGGAGTCAATGGATCAGTGGAACATTCTGAAATTCCCACTCTATTACAGGAAGTAAATAGTGAAAGACAAAACTTATTAGAGGAGTTGAGCAATAGTACCACAATCTATTGCCACAGCTCCTGGAATGTACATTGTTAACAGTTTGTATGTGTGTGTGTGTGTGTTGACAATGGTGGGCAAATTAAACTACTTTTTTTCTGAAAACATTTTCTTAAAACCAACCAGGCCAAAATTGCCTGTTGAAAGAAACACATGTAAATTTAGCATATTAAAGCATTATATTATAGTTTGCTGTCTTTAAAGGCTGTGCCCTCCGAGGGTTACATTTGTTGGATGCATAGGCCTACATCTTTAAAGGGAAGATTTTAGTTTTTGGTACAGATATTATTCAGAAACAGAATATATTTGTGTGTGGGGGTGCTCTGGGTGTGGTTGTGTGTGTTTAACAGAAGAAAGAAACTCACTGGAACAACTTGAAGCTGGATAAATTGTGGATGAATTTGAATTTTATAATGAAATGCCCCTTTAAGCCTGATATCAGAAAAGTACCATTTCATTCTAAAGAAATGACAGTAATTTAGCCTACACCTCAAGAGGAGGAACAGTCAGTTTTATAGTGGATGCTTTTCTGAAATTAGACAAACTTTTAACCTTCGAATGAGACACAAGTGTGAGGGATCCGTGTACATGGAGAAGGAGCTGAACACACGAGTCTGAGAAACTATAGCGTCTTTGCTCCATGCTAGCAGAAGGTGGCAGTAATGTGCTATTTTAGTTTGCCCCACGCCGGAAACAGCAAAAATTGTTCCATGGGAAATGCGCCTCTGTCGTTCGATAGTAACGGATACGTTATTTGGATTACGTAATTAGATTACAAAAAGAAAGAATCTGCAAATAGTATATGGTACGTTTGATTTATTACACATGAATCAGCAAGTGTAATTGACTGTTTTTGTTTGTACGTTTTATAAGAGCTGTCCACGCCGGAGCCTCGTGTGAAGATGGAGCGGTCTCGTTTAGCCTTTGACCACTGGATGCACAAACACTACTTCACATTCAGGGACACAATAGGGAGAAACATTACCGTTCAGTGCAACCTCTGCCTCCCAAAGATCAACATCTTATCCACTGCAAGGGACTCGACGTCTAATCTAAAGAAGCATTTGGAGGTAACATTAAGTTACATTCGCTCGTCTTCTCAATTTAACACCCATCGATTGCTTTTGTATTGTGTTTTTGAGTTTGTGGGGCAGCTATGCAAAATTAAACTATTTTTTGGTAGATTCCCGGTGGGGTACAGATAGAAGCTTTTGTTACACTCCTAAATGTGAATCTAAGAAAAGAATGTATGATCACATTTAGTGGCTTATAAACACATGTAGGCACTGATTTTCACTTTTATCTGTTTGTCAGGCGAAGTTTTAAGCGAAACGTGGGACAGACGATCAACAAAGTGGGAGTGGTGTTGAGTTTATAGTAAACATTTTTTTATGAACAGTAATAAGTTAGACGTTAGAGTGTTAAATTGGGTCTAGTATTAGCGTTTAATATAATATCCAGTCATAGAATGAAAAAGCTTCATCTGTAATCGATTGGTGTAACGTTAGGTGAGCAGGACTGTTCCTATTGTTTTTTTTATAACTCTTGTTCCGCAAACTCTTTAATTAAACTTTCGACATTATAATGATTTAAATAAAACACGTTAGTAACATTAATTTGTTAGGGGAAAGTGTTGTTGTTATTAATGTAATGCGTGGTCACTTGGGAATGTTTGGTAATACCGCGTGCACGTCTCATGGTTTGTTTATTGTGCTTTGCAGAAGGAATAAATGGCGCTTATATGTCACTATTATAAGTGATTCGGCAACGACATCTTACTGTATGTTTGTAAAAGAGTCTAAAACTATCGAAACATGCATATCCTCTGTAGATTTACATTAAAAAAGAAGCAAACGCTCGTCTGAGAAAATGGCGGACGGCGGTAGTTGCCATTGCCACGGTGGATTGGTCCATTAGCCTACGTTAAGGCGGGCTTACCGAAGTGTTTAACTTTGTTAAATGAAAAATGCTGTCTTGTCTTCGAAATCACCTCCATTCCCTATATAGTGAATATCATATAGTCTACTACACGAGAAAGGAGTGTATGGAAATTGCATTGCGAATTCAGACAATGGTGTAAATATCGCGCGCTGGAGAGGACTCGAACATACTTAAGTGGGAAAAAAGTATGGCTACTAAGTGAAAATTTGACTCAAAAGTCAAAAACATGCTTTAGTGAAAGTAAAAAAAAAAACTTTAAATTG